GAAAGATCTGCGCTTCAGCGCAATTGGGATCAACATCTCCTTTCGGCAACGCTTCTCTAGTATCCCGTCTCATCTGGCTCTAGTATACTTTCCCTCGTTGGCTCTGCTACAGGCACACACTCCTTAACACGGACACACTACAGTCACAGCTATTGTCATGTTATTGTATTGTATTGTAATTTGTAGAATGCTGTAGCCTGTACAGCATCTGTATCCTTGACACATGTGTCAATACCTGTCGTTTATCTGTACTGTAGTAATTGTACAGTCATGATAAGATATAAGAATATGTTTGAAGATAGTGTAGATATAGGAATTTTTTAGACTGACCTAAGGAAAGCAAGGCTATATCATTATCAGTGCTAGCAGTAATGCCAGTTCCATTAGGAGCTAAAGACACTTGTAGTTGTACATGTTGTACCCAAACTTGGAATCTGCACAATCTCGAGATTGTGTAGCGATTGTGCTGCCCAAACTGCGGATTCCCTAGTTTGGCTGACCAATCTCAAGATTGGGCAAACTGAAAACAGTCGGTGATTTAACAACCGCTCATAGCGTGTAGTGTGCGTGGTGCAAACTAGGAAGAGATTTATCTCATATTTATCCAATTATTTATTATAATCATTTAATATTTATACAAAGGTGCCAAACACATTGAGGAAAGAAGGTATACGACCTTATAGTTATGATGTAACATTTGAAATCCTAATAATCATATGTTTGTGCAAGCTCTGTTTACCTCTGTTTGCCCAATCTCAAGATTGGTTGCCCAAACTGCGGATGCGCTGAAATTCCAAGTTTGGGCACAACATACACACTGACACAGGTACCATGAATGATGAAGTCTTAACAGTAACAGGTATTTTCAAATACAATAGACAATTTATACTGTTGCATACTTTGTATATTTTGTTAAGATCTGGTTAAGATTTGGAAGAAATCAGGAGACATATTGGCGCCATAACTAATAAGTAATAGTGATCTGACTTCAATTGTTCTCTGTGGTGCACTCGGATTTACAATGCCTGTTATCTTCCCAGGATCGACAATAATCTCGCCTGTGCTGAGAATGTGTCGTATAAAATCACCTGTTTCTGTGCAAATCTGTATTTGTCTTTATTCAACTTTTTAAAGTTGGTTTGTTCAAGTTGTATATTGTTATAGATTTTTATCGTGCAACTCCCCGGTGGCCCCATACACAATGATGTCATTAACCATGTTTTTACATCTCTCTAAGCTGGATAAGCTTCTCAATATTGCATTCTGAAAGATTTCTAAAGCGGCATTGGTCCTGTACATTAATCTTTTGTATCTGAACAGGAAAACATGTTGAAATGTAATGCCTGTCCGTCCTCACCCTTAGTTTTCCCACTCCAGTTGTAATAATGACAAGATATGTGCATACAAGGCCGGCCCGCGTAAGGATCGATAGTAATTACTCACTGTTCTGACATGTTAGGATCCATCCATCACACAAGTCACGACGAGTACCGCGAGCGCTCAGCAGAGTCTCGACGATTACAACCCGTTTGATACCAGTCAAAAGCCATCGGCTGTGATGCAGCCACAGGAGCCACCACCACAGCAGCCACCGCCTCAACAGCCACCGCCTGCAGCGCCGAGCCAGCCAGCTATCGTGCCGACGTCGTACAGTCAGCCACCTCCTCCGTACAGCCAGTCTGGAGCCCAGCATGCTGACACGGCTGACTTTCAGCGAAGGCAAGAGGTATGGATGGGAGTCAAAGAAGGAGTTGTGAGAAGTGCGCACATGTTGCAGTCATAATCAAGGAAATTTGGAAATGTGTGCACAATTTCTAATTCATCAGGATTAGAGATGAACATTTTGCCAGGCAGCACTTAGTTGCTGCCACAGAAAAATGCAGGCAGCAAACTCACTCACCCAGGCAGAAACTTGAGAAAATTATAGCCATTCCACTCCCTCCCACCCCAATAGCATTGTCCTATTGTCTCTGTCCATAAGAAAGCTGGTTTGTCCTCCTAGTCTGTTTTCCCTGATTTGTTAATTCTAAATATAGCCACCCATACCAAAGTTTCACATCGAATACAGTACAGGCCGTAAAGTAGGATAACTGAGATTTGAAAAAACAACCCCTCATTTTTAGTTTGGTTTATTGTAAATTGCTTGGCAGCAAGTATTTGCTGCTGGCATTGAGAGCAGGCAACAACCTGACCATTGTAGGTAACAAAACTGCTGCTTGCTTCCCCTAATTTCGAACCCTGTTCATTTTCCTAATCTGATGGCAAGAAGGAAACTATAGTAGATTAAAAGGGTATAATTATATCAAGCTTGCAATTAGAAATTGCAATTTTATTATTAATATTGAATGCTAAATATTACTATTTAGTATATATATTGCAATCTTGATCTTTGCCCTCTCCATAATGTTATATATCTGGGTGGTGATGACATTTTATTATCAGGACATATTTTGTCATTATCAGGTGATCTATTTGTACAGAGTGAAACACACTTGATAATTATAATATTTTGACCATTATTATTGCGAGAGTAATTTTATGAAATTTTAGGAGTTGGAGCAAAAAGAAGCAGAAATCAGAAGGAGAGAAGATGAAATAAATAGACAACAAAATGCAAGTCGTAAGTTTACTTACTCTGATTATTAAAATCCTAATTCCAACCTTTCATGCTCCTACTGACAGTTAGTTGATGCATTAGTTATGCAACAGTTAATGAAATGCATTATGTATGATGTATAGGGTTTGTGATCATACATTTTATTTGCAGTGATGTGGCTTTGTTTTTGCCAAGGCGGTAGAAGCTAATTGCTTCACATTAACGTTTATGTAGGTAATGCATACTGCTGTACTGTCTTGGTGCTAGTTATAATTAGCTTTGTATATTTCAAAATTTTGATATGATTGCTTACAGTTAGAAGGAACAATTGGCCACCTCTGCCAGCGAAATGCTGTGTGCAGCCATGCTTCTACCAAGACATTGCTGTAGACATACCGTTAGAGTTTCAGCGTCTAGTGAAAATATTTTATTACCTATGGATGTGTAAGTAATGTCTGAATGTTATGTATTCAAATTAGGTGTCACCTATTAGCAACAAGATTACTGATTACCCCAGTATAAAGTTTACCACAAGCCAGGATGCTGTGGTATATAAAATAGCAAATAACATCGCTACATTCGTCAATGCCATGCCAATTGCCTTGTAAATAGTGCCATCAGAAAAAAGTGCAAGTAAAGGTAACAATGTATGAGTGTCCTATAAAGGCATGTTAGCCGTACAGGTTTTGTAATGGTTGGAAAGATTTTTTAATATCCATAGTTTAAATTCACCCTGAGTTATCAATCGGGCATGTTCAGTTTGAAATGAAATTTGAATAAATTGCATACCTATGCATCTTGGCTAGGATTTCAGGCATCTTCTATTCATGCCTCTGAGCAATAGACAAAAATGTATAGTTCTTACTTATGTATCTGTGTTATGAGTGTTGAGTGTTTTTTCAGTGATAATACTGTTGTTTAGACACGTATATACAGGGTTTCTTATACATAAGAGGCACAGTGGCGCACTGCCATTGTCAAATTTAACATCGCCGTTGTGAAAATGTTCCTGTATTTACTGATGAGTATATCCTCTATCAATAGCCGCGTTCACACGTAGCAAGAAATCCGGTATTTAGCGTTCACACGAGGCAAAATGCGCGGTCCAAGAAATACGGTATCTAAACAGATCCGGTATTTGATGTAAATACGCGGCTTCCCAGACCCCGAATAATTTGCCGTGCTTGAGAAATACCGGATCTCTTGGACCGCGCATTTCCTCGTGTGAACGCTAAATACCGGATTTCTGAAGCCGGGTATTTTATAGACTGGTCCGCGCTCGACAGTTCCAGTGTAATGCGAGTGGAACTGTTGAGCGCGGACCAGTCTACGTATTTTATCGGCAGTTGGTGCGCATTGCATTGTTTATTTCGCATTGTTCGCTTGATTGTTTAAAGCGGCTCGTAGCTCGCAAATACCGTATTTCTGGAGCCGCGAATCAGCGTGTGAACGCTCGGCCGCGTATTTGTATCAGATTCGGTATTTCGCAAATACCGTATTTCATAAATACGAGGTCTCGTGTGAACGAGGCTTATATACCTATAAGTATATCAATACATCTTGTATTTGAATCCATCATGCACATTTTTTCCCAAACTGGCAATTACCTCCTTTGCCTAATTTTCCCTCAGAAGAAACCCTGATATATCTTATGGCCATAAAATATGTGAACTTTTTCTGTTTCAGTTTATGCTGGCACAATGTTCCTCAATGTACTAGGAGCAATGGCCTATCTGTTCACTGGTGGAAGTGCAGCAACGTTTGGCTTATCTATTCTCTTCTTCTGTCTGTTCACACCATGTTCCTTTGTATGCTGGTACAGACCAGTCTACAAGGCATTCAGGTATGCAGATGTAGTATATATACAGGGCATGAAATTCAGATTTTTTTGCACCGGCCCAGAGGGCTGGTAACAGCAATTTCTTACCAGCCCTCGCCATAATTTACCAGCCCTCGTAAATTTTGTTTGTAAAATCAATGTCATGTTTCACACTTGCATTTTTGATTTCAAATTTGTAAAATGTTGATAAACTATGGTGTGATATCCTTAAGGTAAAACAGTAATGTAGGCTATTTGCTCATTAATGCTATAATATAAATGAAAATGTAGGTACTCGCTAACACGGGCTGAAACCAACCGAGCCGGAGGGCCGGTGTTTTGCCAATGTTACCGGCCCTCCAGATAATTTGCCAGCATATGCCGGTGGGCCGGTGCTAATTTCGCGCCCTGTATATCAGTAAGGGATATGCCGAATTTACAGACTGTGTATTCACATGGTAAAAAAATCGGTAGGCGGTCAATCCATTGTCTGTAATTACTGTGAGTGAATGCACAGAGCTAGCTCATTAGAATTGAACAAGTGATTTATATTTCATTTTTATTACTTAGTTGTATACCTTCATACATTTTCTCATATGGTAAAAATTTTGTCTCATTAGTAGTGGAGCAGTAATGCTGTGTCGACTCACTGTCACAGTCTATTGAAAACTATGGCGTACATGTGTTGTGAAGAATGCTTCAAGATTTCAGGCTTTGTCATATTTATTTTCTTTTATACTTTTTCAGGTCGGACAGCTCAATCAATTTCTTCATGTTTTTCTTCATATTCTTTTTCCAATTCGTCATCTCGGTCATCCAAGCCTTGGGTTTCGATAACTTTGGCACATGGTATGTGAAAGTGTTGTGAACGTAATGATCTTCGATTATTCATTATTATATTCGATAAGTATCATTAGTACATGTTCAAGATCAAGTATCAGAATATTATTTGAATAATCAGAAATAGGCTTTGTAATTTTTACACCATCTGTAAAAGACTGACAAAATTGTTACACATTACATGTAATTGTTTGTGCTAGAATAGTCTTAAGGTTGAGCTGTATACTGATATTATTAGGCGATTACAGTGATATATTCAAATGGCTAATTTTATTCTTGGTTTCTCTCTAAACAGCGGTTTTATAAATGGTTTGTCGACAATATCGCAAGGTGGACGAGGTTTGGCAGTTGGTGGAATCATGTTAATCGTTGGCCTGTTGTATGCATCTTGCTCCCTACTCAACATTGTTCTTCTTCTCAAGGTAGAATTGTACCAGAGTCTTTTGACTCATGTGTACTCACAAACCACATGCATCTGCTTGGTATTGTTTTTGTTGGATTGTTCTTCAATCTTGCAGATATATTGAACCACTTCTTGAAGAACGCATAGTGACGTAGTGGCTTGTACCTTATTGCTTTATTAGGTAGAATAATGACGGTTAGACCATTTAAGTTGCAGGCACGGTCGTTGCATGTACATGTGCATTTTTCTATCTCAGACGTGCTTGTTTTTTTATTGCATTAGGCATAATCTAACAATGGATAATAACATTCAGGTTGCTTCCAGTTCATAATAATGTGCTGTGATAAGCAACCGCATTCATCACATCACTCGTGGGACAAACAACATTCAAGACGATAGAACCTTGTTCATTGGGGTGCCTGCGAGGTCTAATTGGCCAACATGTGCTATCATTGCGCAATTTGCAGCTATGTGAAAGCAGGCAGTATGTATGAGGGTCGACTAGTTCCATGAAAACTCCTCTATTGGAAAGTGCAGTGTTCCACTTGCCAGTTGGAAGTCGTTATCATGACAGTATGCTTTGTTCTTTTTGTTTCGTTTTACTCATTGTTATAGCAGCCTATTGAATTCTCTGCCCTATCCCCCCAAGAGTGGAAGATCACTGCATTGAATGTTTATTGTATTATCATTTAGATTTGTTTTTATTCTACCTGTCATAGCGGCTGGATAAATTCCCTGACCCACACCAACAAGAATATTGGAGCCGCTGCATTTATGCTTATCATCAGCTTTTTATTTTCCCTGGAAGCCGCAGGAATGATTATTTTCCTGATCAAGGTATCTTGTTTGCACACGGATGGCGAGAGATTGCTGTAATCACACTCTGTAATCACAGTGTGGTATGCTACACGTGCTAGCAATCTAACTGTGTTTTTTTGCAAAAGACTAACCCCCCTGTCTCACTCTTGCTACCTCTGCCATCTCTCTCGCCCTCTCGCCCTCTCTCTCTCTCTCTCTCTCTCTCTCTCTCTCTCTTTCTCTCTCTTTCTCTCTCTCTCTTTCTCTCTCTCTCTCATCTACTGCTCTCGTCTCTCTCTTCTCTCTCTCATCTTTATCTCTCTTCTCCATCTCTCTGCTCTCTCTCTCTCTCTCTCGTCTGTCTCTCTCATGTGTCTCTCGTGTCTTTCTGTGTCTCTATGTGTGTCTCTCTTCTTCTCTCTCTCTATCTCTCTCTCTTCTCTCTCTTCTTCATCTCTCTCTTTTCTCCTTATCCGGCACCTCGTGAAGGGCGGCGCGACACAGGTGATCGCGCGCGAATCTCTTCTCTTCTTTCGCCGTACATGTCTTTCAGAACCTCATCCGGATCTTTATCGTCCCTCTATGATCTAGGCTCATTCTCTTTCTCTCTCTCTATCTCGGCAGTGAATACAACAAGACGTGCACGTGATATTGACCTGTGATATTGAATGAAAGTCGTCATTTGCATGAACATGGTGTAATTTGTTTCTGCTACCTGTGGTGGCTTCTTGTTATGCACACCAGAGCATGTTCGTTCTAAGGTAGCTCTCTGTTTTCTTTTCGCATTGGGCTCGCATCTATCCTATTTTAACCACTAATGACTTTTCATCAACTAACACCAGTTCATATTGCTTGACTAGGTACACTGCATGGGGAAGTAGGTGGGAGATGCATGCGTTCTTGCTGTCTAGTGCATGCATGTTGTTTTTCACACAGTGGCTGGCTAAATTCACTTGGACATCTTGAAGAAAGCCTTGCTGCTTCATTAGCTATGATAGTTCCAGCCACTTTCTTTACTGTTCTCTGCATCTTTGACATGGTAGTCCTAATAAAGGTGAGTTAGGATTATTCACTGACTAACCTTGACGAATGTAGGGATATATTTATGATGCTAGGCATTCTAAAGTTGATGTTGCTGTGTTGCAAATATCCTCTAAAATAAAATGCTATTACTATTAGTATTGTAACCAAACAAGGTTCTTTGAGAGGTGAGTGTGTTTTCGTTTAAAAGTATTATGTAGCCAGGATCTCATTGAGACGAGGTTAATAGATTGTGAATGGTGCCCAGCAAAGACGAAATCAGGGCTATCTAAGAATGACTCAAAAGTGCAGATTTTTATACAATGGTCCCTACTTTATCAGTCCTGGAATAAACGGGTGCATCACTTGTACACGTTGTTATGTGCTTACTGCTTAATTGGGACCACTGTCTAATACTCTAATCGGAATATTTCATGCTTGCATTTTCCGGCATGTCTCGATAAAACGGGGCCACTTTATTATGATTAAAAAATGTAACATTTTTATAATTAACTGTCATGAAGAAGTTGCTTCTAAATAAAAGTGGCTCCCAGTCATCTAAACTAGTGAGGAAATGTAACCACGTCAGTTGTAAATCATTATTCCAGGTGATATATAGGCTGATGTGTCTACTTAGAATCATAAATACATCAATATTGAGATTCCATGCACATAAGTTTATGCTAGAATTCTCAGAAACTAAATTGGTTTGTTCGCTGAAATAAGTATAATATACTTATTAAGATGCTAAGTAATATTAGAATTGAAATGTTTGATCATTGCTTATTTGTAATTGCAATTAAACCTCAAATAATGTCCCCAGCTAATGTCGATATGAGGGCATTTACTTTTCTTTACCAAATATCAACTTGTAAAATTGATTGAACCAATTCTTGTGAGTAACTAACATGTCTACGGTGTAGTTTTTTTGAGAAGAGCTATTAGAAGGCTTTTACCCGCGTTTTTCTTTCATACGTGACAGGTTCATCGGCTTTACCGCGGCACGGGAGCTAGCTGGGCGAAGGCACAGCAAGAGTTTGCCACGGGAGTCATGACCAATCCAGGCGTTCAGACTGGCATGTCGTCAGCTGCTCGCGGTGCATTTACCGGCGCTACGGGCTCTGGCGGTGGTGGCGGAAGCAGATTCTAATGACGACGAAACTCTAGCCGTGCGGAGGAGAAATGCGATGGCTGTTCGGTGTGAAATCTTTGGTCGATTAGATGTGTCATGACTACTGTTCGTAGCAGAACGACGTCTTGTTGAGCACTTATAGAGCTTGTCCTATTATATTTGGCCTGCATATATGTGTGTGCGTATATATAGACTGTTTACATCACCTTCCATTGGGTATTTCTCTTGCAATGACTACTGACCATTGGCTGCTTGGTGTTGAGGCATTACTCCCTAGAGTTAGTAAATAAATGTAAGTAGCATACCGGTTATGAATAAGGAATTTTATTAATTGAACTGCATATATTTAGCTAGTACAATTTACTAGACCGTACAGTTTTCATGTACCCACTTGGCTACTTAATTGGCCTGTTGTATGCGTGTGTAATGGTTTACCTGGAATAATCTTTTTGATTCAAATCAAATTGACTAAAACATAAATGTAACTGTAATCACTGCTTTTTGTCGTAAGGGTGAAAGAACATCTCCTATACTACTGTTATTTATATATTCATAACTATTTTTGTATATCAATGCTTCAGATACTGACCAGATATAAAATACGCTAACTTGAACAAATGTGAAGTAATGATTGACATTCGATTGCGGTTATGTTAAATATATTTCAAAATAGTGTTTAATATTGGCGACTTAATTTGCTTCGTATATTATTGGTCAGTTAAACGTTTTGTAGCTAAAACATAGTGGATTTTCCCCATTTCTCTTCCCCGTATGGTAATATTATAAAGGAACTGATAACGCAAAGCTTATGAGAAATGTGTTATACTTGAATTATGTCTCAGAGACGATAGACAGATATCAAACGTTTCTCCAGGTATTATTACCAAGAATATATAAGATACGGTGATTTAGAAAAGCCATGTGCATTTTACAGTGTTGTATTTGTTAATAAATACATGGAATAGAAATTTCTGGTTGTAATTGTATTTGGATCTCGGTACAAGGCACAGGTATACTTTTGAGAAGTTAATATTCACAGTTTACCTAGAAAAACATCAATTATTTGACTTGCAGAGAAATATGGGTTAAATATAATTGTGCCATCTCATTAGAAGTTTGGTTAGCTAGTTAATTATTAAGACCATTGAAAGTTTTCCAACCATCACTTCTTTTTAGCATATTAGCTTGCAAGTTCGGTACCTTATTTTGTGGTTATGAATCGGACGAATTGTGCGTGTAAATGCTTTCCCAGTGCATGGGCAAGTCAAAAATGGCTGTCATGTATGATAATCAAGTTTCGTAATAAAATTGCCTGTTATTATTTATTTGACTAGCAGCGTCTTTACTGTTGTTGTTGGCGTTTCTCGAGAGTGATCCAAATCCTTACATTGCCGACGCGTTCCGACTGATGTACCCACAAACACGCTACTCGTGAGGCTCGAACGCGCTTCGGCACAAGTTGGGGGGTACGGATCGGTATGCTACGATCAGAAGTGAATGAGAACAACGAAAAACATTACAAATTAGGTTTTTTATTTGCTCCTGATATATTAAAATACTATCAAGGGTGATTTTTCCATGAGAGAAGAGGTGGTAGAAACCCCTTGTGCGTCGTGTCAGGCGCCTATACGAACATTTATGAGCGTATAAAACGCGCACATAACCCCTGCGTCGCACGTGGATATTGTCACCGGTGCGGCGCGCGGGGGGGGGGGGAGCTATAGTTAATCTTCATAGACTGGAGGGAAAATGTATATCTAATGAATGTTAATAACCATTCAATAAATGTTATAAATAGGGGTACAAAAATATTCCTTATCTTTAATTATCTATGCTGTTTATTTCTTGAAACCGTAAAATTGGCGAATATTGTTTCGTTAATCAACCGTTAGTTAGCTTACGAAAATTTACCCACCCCAGCGTGGTTGCTAAAAGCATTGCTAGGCTATGGCACAATTATTCCAATGTCTAACTTTATTAATTGCAAAGCGCCAAATTATCCCGAACTTATATATACTGTAGTATATTGTTAGATATCTGTTCGCACATACATGTCCAGTATCTGCTAATATAGAAAATTAGAAAAGAAAGATAACTTAGAAGCCATTTGTATTTATGATAACTTGGTATATCTTTAAGGTACATACACCATAATCATCTGTAAGTTAGCGTAAAAATCTCCTCATCGGCGTGCCGAATTTCCATTTATTGCAGCATATATGGTGTTCGCGCACGTCCATTATATGGCAAAATCAATATTTCTTAAAATGAATATTATAGATCGGATTTTACCGAGCACACGTACTGTCGGCTCAGCCGGCTCCGCTTTGAGCGTATAAGAACGGCTGATAAAAATTATCTTGGCAGGCAACGGCCATCGACGTCGGAGCGCTTTCTTCGTGTACATTAGCATAGCGGAGAAACCAGGGCAAGATGCTGTGAGCAAAGTGAATATTACAGGTCGAATATTATCAAGCACGCCTGCTGTCGGCCCGGCCGGCTCCACGTTTAACGTATTTAAGAACGGCCGAAGAACATTCTCTTGGAAGTCAACAGTGACCGACGCACGAGGGCCATCATCCTGTACAATAATATAGGCATAGCGGGGAACCCAGGGCGTGCTACTGCGAGAAAAGTGAATATTATAAGCCTCGTTCACACGAGACCTCGTATTTATGAAAGATATAGTAAGGATTTAGTAAAGATTTAGTAAAGATTTAGATTTAGATTTAGTAAAGATTTATGAAATACGGTATTTGCGAAATACCGAATCTGAGACAAATACGCGGCCGAGCGTTCACACGCTGATTCGCGGCTCCAGAAATACGGTATTTGCGAGCTGCGAGCTGCTTTAAATAATCAAGCGAACAATGCGAAATAAACAATGCAATGCGCACCAATTGACGATAACATACGTAGACTGGTCCGTGCTCGACAGTTCCACTCGTGTTACACTGGAACTGTCGAGCGCGGACCAGTCTATAAAATACGCGGCTCCAGAAATCCGGTATTTATAGCGCTCACACGAAGAAATGCGCGGTCCAAGCAATCCGGTATTTCTCGAGCACGGCAAATTATTCGGGGTCTGGGAAGCCTCGTATTTACATGAAATACCGGATCTGTTTAGATACCGTATTTCTTGGGCCTCGTATTTTGCCTCGTGTGAACGCTAAATACCGGATTTCTTGCTACGTGTGAACGCGGCTATAGTTCGGGTTTTACAAAGTACACCTGCTGTCGGCCCACCCGGCTCCACTTTAAACGTATAAGAACGGCCGAAGAACATTCTCTTGGAAGTCAACGGCGACCGACGTCGGAGCGCATTTTTTATGTACATCAGCTAGCAAAGCGAGGAACCCAGTGTGTGATGCTGCGAGAAAAGTTAATATTATGGTTCGGATTTTACCGAGCACACCTGCTGTCGACCCGCCTGGCTCCACATTGAACATATGAGAACGCCCGAAGAACATTCTCTTGCAAGTCAACGGTGACCGACGCACGAGGGCCATCTTCCTGTACAATAATATAGGCATAGCGGAGAACCCAGGGCGTGAAGCTGCGAGAAAAGTAAATATTATAGTTCAGATTTTACCGAGCACACCTGCTGTCGGCCCACCCGGCTCCACTTTGAACGTATAAGAACGGCTGATCAAAATTCTCTTGGCAGGCAACGGCTACCGACGTCGGGGCGCCTTTTTCGTGTACATTAGCATAGCGGAGAAACCAGGGCAAGATGCTGCGAGCAAAGTGACTATTACAGGTTGAATATTACCACGCACGCCTGCTGTCGGCCTGACCGTCTCCACTTTGAACGTATAAAAACGGCCGAAAAACATTCTCTTGGAAGTGAACGGTGACCGACGCACGAGCGCCCTCTTCCCGTACAATGATATAGGCATAGCGAGGAACCCAGGGCGTGATGCTGCGAGAAAAGTGAATATTTTAGATAGGATTTTACCAAGCACATCTGCTGTCGGACCGCCCGGCTCTACTTTAAACGTATAAGAACGGCCGAAGAACATTCTCTTGGCAGTCAACGGCGACCGACGTCGGAGCGCCTTATAGCATAGCGGGGAACCCATGGCATGATGCTGCGAGCAAAGTGAATATTATACATAGGATTTTACAAAGCACGCCTGCTATCGGTTCGGCCGGCTCTACTTTGAACGTATAAAGACGGCCGAAGAAAATTCTCTTGGCAGTCAACGGTGACCGACGCAAGAGCGCCCTCTCCCTGTCTATTAATATAGGCATAGCGGGAAACCCAGGGCGTGATGCTGCGAGAAAAGTGAATATTATAGTTTAGATTTTACCGAGCACACCTGCTGTCGGCCCACCCGGCTCCACTTTGAACGTATAAGAACGGCCGATAAAAATTCTCTTGGAAGTCACCGACATTGGAGCGCCTTTCTCATGTACATTAGCATATAAAATTTTATATTAAAAATAGAATGCAGAAGTGGATTGCAACCAAAGCAATTCAATCCCAATCCCTCACTAAAAAGGTACCTATAGTCTGTGTGAATTCCCAATTATCGTCGCATGTATTGTTCGTGAATGTCCAGCATGTGTCAAACGAAACTTTATTTTTCTAAAAAAAATGCATTTAAAGTCGAGAGCACATATTATCTACTAGTAGTATGATATGAATCTTAGTAATGGTAATCTGTACCATTGAGGTATCACTTTAATAACGATAAGGAGAAAGGTTTTTACGAATTTCCGAATAATACCCTCATAATGTCGTACGCATGTCAACCCTCATTTAGATGTCTCTGAAATAATATTCTTTTCGATATATATATATATATATATATATATATATATTTATTTATTTATTTATTTAATTATATATACATATATATCAAGAGTACATAATGGGAGATCTATTACGCCACTCTCCCATTATGTACTCTTGATATATATTCTTTATTATATTTATGATTATTTTTTGTTATTTATAGTATCATTTTTCTGAAATTTTACTTTTTAAAGAGCACATGTATAATCACTAGTAGCGTTAGCATGATATAGCCGGAACAGATACAGGCCAGAGCCGTATATACGGTTATCAGACCGCCCAAGACGGCTAGCTCATAGATATCACAGTATAATGTCCCATGATACATGTATGGGTTAGTGCGCGCATTGAATGGTGCTGCCGCCTAGTAGTTTTTGTGAGAAAACATTGGTATTTATAATCATGAGACGTATCCGGAAGCATTATGCAGATACATGTCTGTTTTTAGAATAAACAATCTATTGAAGCATAATAAAGATATGAAGATAAGAATGACCCAGATAGCGCTAATGTGAGAGATAGTTAGTGACAGAGATGGAGAGAGCGAGAGAGTGGGATATAGTAAGAGAGAAATAAAGAGAGAAAGTGAGAGGGAGAGACGGGTATATAGCAGACTAGAGAGTAGAACCCGCTAGAAGGGCAGAGAATGCTTATTTTTCTATATTCCCGCTTATAGATTTATATCATTATATCAACTTCATATGGGTTTTTTTTTATTGCTAGATAAAATAATGGGATGCATACAGGTATTACGTGAAATAAAGATGCAAGACAGATAGCGGGCTACCAGGCCAATAACCTTTCCTCTCACTATGACATTTCGTTGGGCATCAATGTAGATCCATTGGGGGATCCATTGGGGGATCCATTGGGCATCCATGTATCCATTGGGGGATCCATTGGGGGATCCATTGGGCATCCATGCATCCATTGGGGGATCCATTGGGGGATCCATTGGGCATCCATGTATCCATGTTGGGCATCCAAGAGACAAATGTATTATACACACACAATACGCTGTTCATTGATTTCGTCTAAGACCATATTTAGAGCTAGCAGGAGAGCAGGTGCGTTTGGTTGTCGAGGTGATCCCATCGCTTCTTCTGCTAGTTGTGCATCACCTGATGTCCCGCTGCGATACTTGAGAGCTCTCTACTGTCTGGCTACAGTACATGAGCATTGATTAAAAGAAATAACGTTGTAAAAAGGCAGATACCTACTTACATAAACTCTCACACGCACACGCACACGCACACACGCACGCACGCACGCACGCACGCACGCACGCACACACACACACACACACACACACACACACACACACACACACACACACACACACACACACACACACACACATATATATATATGTATATGTATATATATAT